TAGGAATCGCTCAATGACTTCATGAATAATTAACCCATAAGTCAATAGGAATTGCTCAATGACTTCATGAATAATTAACCAATGAACCAATAGGAATTGCTCAATGTCATCATTTGTGCTTGGTTGAGAAGCTTTCAATTTGGTTTGTATTTTCAATTTCAATGCATCATACCCACGTAGAACAATCAAAAGTTTAATATTTAATATAATAATTCAAGGTCCTATTATCTAAACTACTACCAATTATTCAATCTACCAATTATCTAAACTAATACCAATTACATCCAACCTACCAATTATCTAAACTATTGCCAATTATCCAATCTACCAATTATCTATACTAATACTAATTATCCAACCTACCAATTATCTAAACTGTTACCTATTATCTAAACTGTTACCAATTATCTAACTACTACCAATTATCCAATCTATCAATTATCTAAACTATTATCAAATATTTAATCTACCAATTATCTAAACTAATAACAATTATCCAACCTACCAATTATCTAAACTATTACCAATTATCTAAACTATTACCAATTATCCAATCTATCAATTATATAAACTATTATCAATTATTCAATCTACCAATTATCTAAACTATTACCAATTATCTAAACTATTATCAATTATCCAAGCTACCAATAATCTAAACTATTGCCAATTATCTAATCTACCAATTATCTAAACTGTTACCAATTATCTAACTATTACTAATGATCTAAACTATTACCAATTATCTAATCTACCAATTATCTAAACTATTACCAATTATCTATTCTACCAGTTATCTAAACTGTTACCAATTATTTAAGCTACCAATTATCTAAACTACACGTATTATCAATTATCCATCTTACCAATTATCTAAACTATTATAATTATTCAATCTATCAATTATCTAAACTACCGGTAATACCAGTTATCCAACCTATCAATTATCCAATCTACCAATTATCTAAACTATTACCAATTTACTCATCTACCAATTATCTAAACTATTATAATTATTCAATCTATCAATTATCCACACTAATACCAGTTATCCAACCTATCAATTATCCAATCTACCAATTATCTAAACTATTACCAATTATCTAATCTAACAATTATCTAAACTATAACCAATTATCCAATCTACCAGTTATTTAAACCATTACCAATTATCTAATCTACCAATTATCTAAAGTATTACCAATTAATCCAACCTACCAATTATCCTATCCACCAATTATCTAAACTATTATTCAATCTGTCATCTATCTAATGTTTCAATTATCCAAACTGACCGTTATCATATTATTATTTGTAATAATAATAATGTAATTTCCTGGCTCTCCATTTTCCTTCAGATTTGTTCTGATATCACTCCTGTTGGTAATCATACCATTTTTACCGGCATCCAATATCTTCTTCTATGTTGGCTTTGTGATAGCAGAGCGGGCGTTGTACATCTCTGTATTTGGTTATGCTATATTATTAGTATTAGGCATCAATAAAATATCTCAGAAATGGTATGAATACAATGTAAGTTGTGCTTTTTTTAATTTTTTTTTTATTAATAGATAAAGACACATTTTTTTTTTTTTTTGGAGGCCTTTGATGAATATCGCAGGATCATATTAAGTCGTAAAACAAAGAGATCGGCACTTAGTTAAATCTCAGAATGCTACTTTAACCAAGGTTTGATGCATATAAATCTGTTTTATGTCTTTAGGTTTTTATTAAGGCAGTCCTAGTATTGCTAGTGGTTATGTATGTGATAAGGAGTATTCGTCGCACAGCTGATTGGATGGACGATCCTGCACTCCACAGATCTGCAATAAAGGTCTGCCCTCTGAATTCCAAGGTATGCTGATCTCTTGTTTTTATTTAGCAATTGATGAAGTAACAAAGTGATAGGATTCCAGAATTAGTTTGGTTAATGTAACTAGCATCGTTTTCTGAAACATATTTACACTTTAATACAGCGCCCTCTATTTGATATCATCTGTAAACATCGTAGTTGCATGCTTGTTTGTGATTGGTCAATAGTGCCCAGGCCTTTGCTGAGTAAATACTACAAGTCGTCTATCTGTAATATTTTTTAGCTTTCATTTACTGGTTTTAATTTATAGGTTTTGTTCAACATTGGTAAAGATCTTGAATCTGCTGGAAATCCTGAAGAAGCCATCAAATGGTACAACAAGACCTTGAGGTAAGAACCTTGAAGTTAATTGATATTATTATACATCTGTCACCGTAAAGCCATAAGTTACAGCATGCCGAAATTTTGTGATAATTTACGTTTTTTTTCATCCTACCATATAAATATAAGGAAATGTGAATTCCAAATATGGAATGATTACGCACGTAAGCGTCCTCTAATATTAAAAACAAACATGGCTTCCACTAGGGTTTGACCGGACTCTACACAAAGAAGTTCGCTGATTCTGTTCTAAACTTTTTGGATTTTGCATTCCCATGATGTATCATTGGGAGGAAAATATGTATAATAATAAGGTTATTACGAAGATACCACAAAGTATGCACTCAGACAGTACGCCGTTGCATCGATACTCCTGCTGTACTCTCTTCGTACAAACTTTTCAGTATCCTCGTAATAACCCCATATTATAATCTCCCTGCCAATTCATAATGAACTCAAGCACTGTCACATCCGATGATCAACGGACAGTTCTAAATTTCACTAAAACACTCATTCAAACTATGTTACTGTTTACACTCAGCCAGCCATTAATTTATTATCGTACATGTACTTCTGGGTAAATCAATGACCTTGCCACTGAGGGTGCTATACAGACTATACCAGTATATCAGTATATTAGCCAAGTATTACAACTCTTTCAATTTCACAATTATTGCTCTTTTCTCAGAATTGTTGTGAATAGTTAGCTAATTAATCCCATCTTGAGTTTATTATTGAACAGTGCATGTAACCCCCCCCCCCAAAAAAAAAAATTAATCAGAAATCCTGTTGATTTGAATTTAATTTGATCAGGGATGTGTAATACGAGTATTTTATATTTAGACCCTTTTCTGGTTTTTATATTTTTATTTTTATTTCTTTTTAAATCATAAAATTGTTTCTTTGAACTACTTTTTTTCACATAAGATTTGATTAAGCTTTTTATGTTGAGCAAATTCCATGTGTGGCCATGGTAAATCAAACCACTGTTGTGTTTTGGTATATCCAAGGTTGCCCGTCACAGGTCTCCTGCCTAAATGCAGATACCGTGGAATTGTTTTTTTGTTTTTAATTTATTGGAGAAATAATGAGCTGATGAATTGAGACTTTTGATTCAGTAGAATTTTTTTTTTTTTTAAATTATAGTGATAAACTACCTTTAATTGTCATAATTCTATGTATTATTTCTAGAAATTAATTACAATTACTAATCATGCCAAACGTTGGTCTGTACTTGATTTGTGGTGAATGAGAACATTATATTTACAGTACTGCATCTAATAATCAGGCTTATATTCATTGCCTACCATCTATTTTGGTGTTATGCTGAGTGTGTATGTTGCCTCTTTCTACAACTAATTGTCTGGGTATAGGGCGCCACCAAGTGGTAGATTTTGATAAATAACTCCCAGGGTTTAAATTTTGGGGATTTTTTTTGCATGGGAAATTACTCGTCTAATGATATTCCATCATATATAAGATCAACAAGAACTTTA